TCATTTTTTATAGTAATTTTTGACCTATTCTGGACATTATTTCGCGTAGTATCAGTACAGAGTTTTAGCTGTCTGTAATCTGTAACTTTCTGGGAAAGAAATGATGTTTCTCCGCGTTGCCACTGGATGACACTTTATCTGAAATCCAAATTTCATTTTCCCTATAACTTTTTTGGCACGCCAAATATCGCAAAAAGTAATGTGAGATTTTAAGGATCAATTCTATACAAAAAAAAGTATTTGAATGAAAAATTTGAATATTCTCGATCCTTTTTAATTTAGTGGTTTTAGAGGACACAAATTTAGTCTAAATTGAACAGTAATCCAATAATTACTTTAAATTGTCAAATTTGGCACATTTTAAACCCAAGCGACTTGAATTGCTGCCATTGCAGTCAAATTCAAGGCCACAGTTTTAGAGTAAGAAAAAGTTTATTGTCGATTTGGTCCTAAACGACAAGGTTTTTTGAGTCGTGTTAAAAGGACATTTTGTCTCCTATTTTCTAGTGTTTAAAATCGCATATTCGTTTTTGCGAGATTTGTAGTGACAAAAAAGTTATGGGGTAAAATGTAGATGTCAGGTAATGTGCCATCTAGTAGCAAAGTGGGGAAACATTTTTTTCTTAGAAAGTTAGAGATCACTCAGCTAAAGCTCTGTACCGATTTTCAATTTAACCTGCAAATAAATGTCCGGAATGGGTCAAAAGTTAAAAGAAATAAAATTAGGTTTGAGGAGCTGTAACTCGGAAAATATTCCGATTTCGATTTTTGCTACAGACTTACTCCTTACCACTATTATTTTAAGTAGTAAAATCACAAATTTCCTGATGCATTTTTAGAACACCCTGTATATGTATACAGTGAGTCTGGCCTGTCTATTTTTTCCTTTCACGTTAGAAAAAAACCTATTAATATTCCAACATATCGCAATACAAATTGTTATAACGGTAATAATATTAATAATATAAATGATAATTAAATTTTGCCCTTTCAAAGATTTTGCGTTGATGACTTTTTTACCAAAACATGTAATATTAATACGTCTGGCAAGTTCCAGACAGTTATTGTTGTTACAGTAAAATATAGTTAAATAACTGGGCTACCCCCCAGAGACCCAAAGCTACCCCCTTTCTTGCGGTAGTCTACCCCGATAAAAATAAGCTTGTGGCAACACTGGCACGCAGTGTTTCGATCAGCTGGGGTGACTTTCGAGGGTGAATCTCAACAGAAACCCCTTTGCAAGTGTTGTTTTGTTAACTGAGTAAAATTTGGTTGCTTACTGTTAGTGTCTGAGTGCAAATCTGGTCCTTTTGACTACGATTTTCGTGGATCAATCAAGACGACTTCTGCATACTGCAAACTGTAGGTATGATGGGACATTTTCCTGCCCTTTGAGCTAATATTAATCAAAATAGGCAATCGTATCGACTGAAGCAATACGCTGCCAATCGATCAGCCTATTTAATTTGTTAGTAAACAAAATACCATTGAACTTGACATACTGTAAGCAATCTATGAATTAATCAGGTTTGTTTCGTCTCAGCTTAAATGGAAAGCGGCTAAGCCAAGAGCAATTAGAACTCGGTTAGATCCATAGAGAAAGTAAAATAAGTATAACTAAGTATTTTACTAGTAAACTAGTTATTTTACTTACTCTATGGTTAGATCTGCATTGGCTCTTCAGGCAAAATCATTGAAGCCGATTTTTCGTTTTTGCGTTTCAAATAGGGTAATTACTACTCATTCCGTTTTCATTGCAGAAAAACAATATTAATTGAAAATTAAAAGAAAATAATTTTTTCAAACGTTAGCATGAATGCATTCAGAATACATTAATCTCCCAAATTACACTCCATGGCATTATTACATTGTTACTTCAAAATATTTTCTTTGTCGCTAGTAACTCTTGTAATGTAAAAAACCCTCAAYGTCGCTCATGACTAAGAACAACAACATTTTAATCTTCTCGCGTTGTTTATTCAGTACATGAAAACATAGTTGCAATCGATTTGACACCAAATAGATTTTCAGAAGGCGAATTTGATAAATCTGAAGGTTTGCTTATCAGCATTAAAAGTTTACACTTTGAAGCGATTGAAATTAGGGTGGTAAAGTCACTTGAGAATTGTTGACTCGATTAGACTGGCTCTGAGTATGGAATTTATTGTGAAAATAAAAACAATTTTGAAAAGCCTAGAAACAGACGCGCCATTAATTTATTCATGTCCTTGACCATGTGAATTACAGACACCAAACTTAAACAAATACAAAACTATTAGATTAGGCTAGGAGACAAAGAGTAAACTAATGGGAAGCAACAGTTATCAGTAATCAGTGGATGATGGACCCAGAGACTAATTTAAAAAAAACACTTGTTCTGGGTAGACATCCTATTTACCTTTACTAAATATGAGGTGCTTCTTAATGCTAAATAATAATAATAAACACATATGTGTAACTTATGGGTTCATTACAAGAATGCAAAATGGTGAACCTAACCCTGAAGTTGACGAAAGTGAAATTATGAAAGTGCAAAGTATTAAGCGCATAAACTGAAATATTGTGCGGGAAGCGTAAACCTTCAACTAAACCTGACCATATGAACTGATCATACACTTGAAAAGTAGATCATAATATGGGAAATCAATTTTTAGATAAATAAATAAAAATGCGTTGTACCCAGAAATATGCCAATTTTTTAGAAGTAAAGACGGTATGAAAAGCTGAAGAATATAAAATACATACAAACATTTTAAAATATACCTAACCGAAGCTCCGAGTAATTGTTCTATCAAATACAAGCTCAGAAAAAACAGCGAATATTGAAGACCAGAAGACACCGAACTACAGAAAAAAATCCAGTTGAAACCAAGTTTGAAACAATTCGAATTGATTTAGTTGTAGTGAAAAAAGTAAAGGCACTAAAACTGAAAATACTTTGGAAAAACACATCTTTAATTAATATTAATATACAGAAAGTGTTGTTCTAGAACTGCACATTTTCTTATAAAACTAGATTTTAAAAATCATTTTGATTCACTAGTGCATTTTAATTTCAATTAAACATCTTTTATACATTACGCCTTCAGTTATCAATGTCATGAAAGGAAAATCTCAATTTACTGGCCAGTTGACTCTATTAACATTATTTGAAAGCATCAGTTAAATATGTTGGAAACTTTTAACGGAAAACTAATGGAAATTTCAAAATTGCTTATGCGCAAGGTGATAAAGTAGAGGCAAACGGCATCTATTAATATCTGCAATTGTGTAAATATTCAATTTATTTAAATGTAACCATTTACAGCATATCTAGCGAGGGTTTAAGGATGCACTTTCAGTACACCATATAACACATTTAAAATCCATTAACCATAAAACTATAATAGAAAAAATATAATAAGCGAAAAACGCCACATCGTAGCTAACACATAATTCGACGGTTTTATTGGCACCATCAGACACACAATTACAAATGAACTTGATAAAGCTGGTCTATCGAAAAGGAAACATCATGAAAAACAGAATTAAATGATGAACAGCAAAATTACTGAATGGCCAAGAAGAATTTGGCCAAGAAAATGCGGAAGACGACAAACAAGAAAGGAGCCGATAACATTTCAAATAAAAAAAACAAGTCGAACTGCGAAGAAAAACGGTTAATGACCAGAACTTCCGAAGCCTTTCAGCAAATTACTATCCATGTCGGCGGGAGCAGATGTTGAACATTTTAGAATGTAGCACCGAAGAGGGCATTGAAGTATTATACATTCCCATGAAGCTTTTTTGCCAATCATTTTCACAATATGAAAAATGTGGGTTACATTGGGAAGACGATCAAACATCGTACAGAAAATGTAATGCACTGTCACAAAATGTATGCGAAATTTAGTGGAAGAGTGGAAGTTTAGTGGCGCTGCAGTCGCCCATTTGTTGCAGGAACATATTTTGCATCGTAGTTTTCGAAAATACATTTCTCACAAACGAAAAACACTCTACACGTTCAGAGTTGTGCGTTCAGTAAAGAAAAGTGCGATCTAAATTCCAAAAAAAATCCTTCAAATCTTGAAAAGTTAATTCAAATCGCATGAAATTTTGCGCGCTTTGTAAACGTTCATTAGAAAATTAACCCTTTCACGCAACTGCATACTCTTGCAAAACATTTTATCTTCCAAAGTAAAGCCGGTAGAAACTTGAAAGATTGAGATTATGTAGAGGTTTTTTTAAATAAAATTTTGGCGTAAATTTCCACCTAAAATTTAATGTCTAATATTCAAATTTCGTGTGACTTTTGTGTCAAATCCGCCAGAATTTATTTACGCACGTTGTTATAACCAAGTTACAAATTCTCTATCCAATGGTATGAAAACGAACTCTTAGCTCAAATGGTTCTTGAGCAACGTCAAAAAAGGTGGAGTCATGTTTCAGTCGATATCGCAATTAAAAAAAAAACAGACAGAACTAAAACTCTTGACTTTATTCAACAAAAAAAACATAAAAGTGGAACCCATATTTGCATATCTGAAACGGTTGTTTGGAGGCAAGCTTCAGATGAGCCTGATGTAAAAGTATAAAGCCGCCCAAAATATTCCCAAAATTTAAACATTTCTTGTGAATAAATCAATGGTTTAATCGGAATCAAATTCACACTATCAGTAAGCTGGTGCTAATTGTATTGAATACTGGAAGCCAGATTTCCATATCTGAAGCGGTGCTTTTGCGAAAAGCTGACCTTGACATGAAAAATACAAAGTCAATGAAAATATTCCCAAAGTTTATACATTAACTGCCGAAGAACCAATAGCTCAATCGATACCAAATCCAGCCTACGAACCAGGGCCAAAGCAATTCTAAGTTTACCTAAAGCTGCTTAGTGCCACCTGGAAAGAAAGAAGAAAAGGTGTTCAATACAGCAGGAAATCTGTCCAAAAAAAATTAGCAAAGCGAAGAGAGAGAAATATAAAGAATCCATAAAACTTCAGTTGCTTGTCAGAAAACTAATCTGAGTTCAAGCTAAAAGATTTATAGATTAAAGATCATTCTTACCAGCTTTTAGCAAGCTGGCGCCCCATGCTCCATTTTCTACCCATTAATCATCAAGTTCACTATACTTTCACAAACTACCGCACTTGCCATAAGGGCCACAATAATCTACATTTCCCATCTAAGAATGCGTTCATCGAGAGATTTCGTCCATTGTCGGTAGCACACTGGACATTCAAACACTTTTTCAAGAAAAAAAACGTAACTACATATTAAATATTATTATTTAATTGTTTGCCCTGTCGATGATTCATGCTTTACTTGGCAGTTCGATTTAAGTTTGTTTCTTGTTCAAATTTTTGTAGAAAGTGCCTGTTCGTGCGGCAATATTTCCAAAGACAAATTTCACGTTTCCACTTAACAAAAGTGAAAAACACCTAAACGAAAAACGCTCTAAGCGCCGATGTTTCACTAACTAACACACTAATTTTAGAGCCATTTATACTTGTCTGAATTTTACTTACCTGCAATGCACAACGTCAAAACTAAAATTAATAACGGGATTCATTTTCTTTTTGTAAAAATATTGACTGAACAAAAAAGCCGCAAATAAATCACTTAAAAATGAAACTGTGGTTCAATTTCCGAGCGATGATAGAAACCAACGAAATTTCAACTAATTAAAAATGTCCTTTAAAAGTTCTGATTTAAAAAATTATTCCGTCACAACCGCAATTTGAGATACAACGCGAACTCACAGAGTGACATCAACTGAAAAGCGCATCTCAACACAATGTTACCCAGGCCTTCAGAAGATGCAACAAACTTATTTACTATAATTAATATTAT